AGGTGGATTACCACTGCCTTAGGATAAAGGGACAACCAATCCTTGTTAACAAAAATTCTATCTAGTCTCTCCATAATTAAATCCTTAGATTTCTTCCTATGATTAGACCAAATATACTTTGGTCCTTTATAACCAAGGTCTAATAAGTGGCAATTGTTAATACTGTTCCAAATATAGTTGTTATGCCTAAGGTTAATGGGGTTACCCCCAGCTTATCATTTGTACTAAGGACATCATTAAAGTCTTCCCCTAACAACCATGGACCCTTATAACTAGTACTAATATTTTCTATATTATTCCATAATTCCCTTCTTTTGTCAGTTTTAGTGCTAACATATATAGAAGAAAAAAGCCAAGAGGAATGAGAGGGGATTACCTCAATAGTTGCATGGATCTCCTGATTTCTCCTAACAAAGTTATGAACCTTAACAACACTAGAATCCCAGAGAATAACCATGCCTCCAGATTGAATATCACTTGGTACTTCAATCATCTCAGAGAAGGCAAAGTCACTCGGAAGGGAGATGTGATTCTGCATTCTCGTTTCCAATAGTGTAACCATGTATGGCCTATGTGTATCTATCATTTCTCTAAAATTAACCCTGAAGTTCTCATTGTTTCTTCCACGGATGTTCCATATTATAATATTTGTAGGCCTAAATATCATTGCATGATTGTTTGTTGGACTATTGTCCATATGAGCTTGCAGCACTGGGTTCCTCCTTAGTGAGGGTACTAGAATCATTGCATGTTTCCCTACTGTAGGAACCTGAGGGCGTCTCACATCCATTAAGCACTTGTAAAGTGCTGGAGGGCAACTGAGCATATATCTCTTCTCTAGTAGGTCCCTGAAAAGAAACACTTTTACCTCGTTGAGACTTGAAAATTCTAGGACTGGTCCGGACCCCAGTAGGTTTATCTCCTCTTCCTCCTCCATATGAACATTTTTTGGTTCTGGTGCATTGGGAGGGGGCTGAGCATATGGATTTGGGTGAGGTACTGGTGGTGGAGCAGGTTGTGGCTCTTATAGTGGGACATTTGGTGGATTTTGTTGATGAGCTGGATTTGCATGGGGAGGGACTTACATGTGGGGATTTGGTTGATCTTGTGCATTGTCCACTGGGAGGGACCATTGCATAAAGATGGGGTTCATGTTTGTGATTTCCCCTGGAGGAAAGAATGGAAGTTCCACTTGGACATTGTGATTATGGATAGGATTAAATGGGGTGGTAAGGTCCACTGATTTCTCATGGCTTGAGCTTGACTTAAGTTCATCGAAGGAGCAAGAGGATGAAGGATGTCATTCATCCACACATGGTTGAGGTAGTTGTTCATTGCCATGTGCATTCCCTCTGACACTAATTGGGCTAAGAAGTGAGATTTCTGGAGGACAATCAGTGTCTCTTGGCCATCCAGTACCATATTGAATGTTATTGCATGGCCCATTAGAGCTTGTTCCACCCATGAGAAGGGTTGATGATCTTGGGGTAGTGGGGGTTAAATGAAGAATATTTGGTTGTTTGCTTGAGTGTTTGGGGGAAGAGGTGGATTCGACATGTTTAAATCACGTTGGTGTCTCACTATTTGGACTAGTCGGAACCTTCTTCTATGTGAGATTGGGATCCTTGGCATTTTTAAAGGAGAGTTGGTGGATTATATTGTGGGAGAGTGTTAGATTTTCTTTGACTTAGTATTGAGCTCACCGATGGAGTAGAGTGGTTAATTATAGTAGGATCTATTTGCATATCTTTGATGTTGCTTGGAGGAGTGAGATTTGAAAGATTTTGGATAGATAATGTAGTTGAGACGTGGTTGGCTGCTTTAGCCATTTGTGTGTTATCCAAGCATGGACACATGTAAGTTGTTTAGAAGAGGAGGCTTATCCCTCACACAAGTTGAATTATTATCAATATGGGTGATTAGAGGGTCATTTGGAAGATGGCGTGTATTGGGGGGTGGGGTTATTATGCATGTTGATAGGGTTGCTTAGGGTTTCATTACCCTTAGGTAAGGAATAATTGATTTGTATGTCATTTAATTAGTTGTGTTTTATATTAGCCATTTGTACAGTCATAACTTGGTTCACTTCCACGTCATTTGCCATGCAGATTAGTTCGTTAATATCAATTTTAGTTTTATCTAATTTATCAAGCTTTGGCAGAAGAAATATGGCATCAAACATATTTCCAATAGCAATATACATCTTAGCTAGCTAATTTTTTCCATGAACTTTAGGAGAAGCAGTAGTAATGGTATTACCATTATCAAGAGATTTTCCTGATGAATACTCATTTAATAAGAGAGATGAAGACTTACCTGGAGGGGGTGATTGAGTCGTTAGACTTACCAGAGTGGAGTGTATCACCTTTGTAGTATGATTGGATTTTTTCTTCTTGGGGAACACAACTATTTGCCAGTTGCTTTCCCTGGTCAAGAGTGGGAAATCTTCAATTTTGTCTTGAGTTCCAACCAATTCTTTGGATTGGTTGCAGGCTTGAACTCCCTGGGGGTTAGTAGGGGGAGTCCTTGATATTATGTATTGGCAATTGGCTAGTAAATGCCCTAGTCTGCCATACTTTTTGCATAAAAAATTAACTTCCTCATAGTGGATTTCCTGCTTATGTTGGCCAATAAAAACATAAGAGGTAACTGACACTTCAAGAGGAACCTCAATGCAAAGCCTAGAATATCTTCCTCTAAGGGTAGATGAAGTACATGCATCAATCTTTAATAATCTACCAATTTTGTTACCAACTTTCTTTAAAGTAAGACCATCATAGAATTCAGTTGGTAATTGTGGTAGTCGAATCCAAATGGCAACATTTGATATTTTAGCTTCCGAAGCAATGAAGTTTGGAACCCATTTTTGGACTGAAAGAAAATGACTAAAAATAAACCAAGGGCCATTATGAAGTGCTTTAAGCATACTATCCTCATTATTGAACTTTGTAATGTAGAAGTTTGATCCTAAATCAATCAAAGAGAAATTTTCTTTAATTTTTCACAAATCTTGAATTTTTCTTTTAAGTATTTAGTGTTGGATTCTTTTCCCTTAAAGCTTGATAATGATTGAAAATCTCCATGGATGGTATATTCTTTGAAGATCCTCCGGAGATAATTGAACCTCTTGCATTTGACCCTGATCTAAGTGAGTGGGTTGGTCTCCATTCACTTTATTATGTAATACATATTTTTCTTTAGGGTTAGAATCAATGATCATGTGGATTTGATCTTCATGCATTCCATCTATTAATTTTTGTTTAAAACTTTGGATATAAGGGTCAGACACTATGGTGGATCGTGTTGTAATAATATTCGGTGGATTTAGAGGGATTAGATGAGGGAAGTTTTGAAGTTGCATAGTGATAATTTTAGGAGTTGTTTGAAGATTGGTAGAGGTAGTAATTTTCTTAGTGAGAAGGGAGAGTTTCTCTCTCTAGAAGGGAGTTGTTGCAACTCCTTTTGTATTCTTAGTTATGCAGACTTGTCTTAAAATTTGCCAGATGTATGCTTTTTTGAGATAACTTAAAAAATCAAATATGATTGCTTCCACTCGTATATTTGTGTTAATTTTTTCTTATTATTCAAAATTGATATATCACACCAGAAGCTTATAAATCAAATTGCACATGAAATCTAACATCAATTGAAACTAGAAACAACATTTTTACTTTAAAGCTTTACCAAACATATACCTATTTGCTAAAGGGACCTAAAAGAAATAAAAAATAATAGATCTTTCATCTAAAATTAATGTTTGAAATTAGGCATAAATGTGTGAGGTTCAGGTATAAATGTCTTCATATATGTTTGGAGTTCAGACAAGATTGAAGTTTGTTTGTGACGAAATGTGAAGGATTAACAATAGAGATGAGCTCGAATTGAGCTTCCATAGATGAAGAAGGGAGACATTCTCACTGAGAACCTTCAAGAAATAGATGGAGAGGAAAGATGAATTTCTTTCTTACTGAAAAATATCTGTACAGTGTCCCTTTTATATGTATACTAATGACCTAATTAACTCATTACAATAACAGCCTAACTAATTACAAAACTAGCTTATACAAAGCATATGGCTAACTATTACAATGTGGTTAACTATTAAATAATCTCAACACCCCCCTCAAGTTGGAGGTGGGGAATCCACAACCAACTTGCCAAGTAGAAGAGTATGCTTGTTGCTTGGCAAAGATTTAGTGAAGATGTCTAAGTTGTTCATGAGTAGGAATGTAATGCAATGAGATCAGTCCCTCTTGAATTTTGTCTCGTACGAAATGGCAATCCACTTCGATGTGTTTAATCTGCTCATGAAAGACATGATTCTTTGCAATATGAAGTGCTGCTTGGCTATCACAGAAAATAGGTATAGGTGGAGAGAAAGGCACTGTGAGTTCCTCAAGCAGTCTTGCAAGCCAAACCAGTTCTCCAACTACTTTACTTATAGCTCTATACTCAGCTTCTGCTAAGGGCAGTGAAATAGTAGACTGCTTTTTGGATTTTCAACAGATAGGACTGTCACCAAGCAATACTATATACCCACTGACTAACTTCCTGGTTTCAGGGCAAGCTGCCCAATCAGAGTCACAAAATTCCCTTATCCTGTAGTCCTTGCTGTTTGACAGAAAAATTCTCAGAGATATACTTCCCTTCAAGTACCTCAGTACATGCAATGCTGCCCTTAGGTGTGTGTCTCTAGGCTTTGCATATATTGACTTAAGTGTTGAACACTATAGGCTATGTCAGGTCTAGTTCATGTAAGGAAATTTAACTTCCCTACCTTTCCCTTTTGAAACAAGAGTAGTCAAACATGGAATGTGTATATCCTCTAGAACAAAGAGCTTCAGTTAATTTAGCATACCATTGCTTAATGGCTTGCTTTAGTCCATACGAAGACTTATTCAGTTTGCATACCATTCTTGGTTGTTCTACAAATAGACTTGGTGGTGTCTCCATGTATACTTCTTCATATAAATCACCATAAAGAAAAATATTATTAACATCTAATTGAAACATTTCCCATCCCTTATTGCTACCCCAATCAGAGCCCTTACTGTTGTCATCTTTACAACAAGTGGGAAGGTTTCAATATAGTCTACTCTAGCCTGTTGAGTGTAACCCTTCACTATCAGTTTAGCTTTAAACCTCTCTATACTCCCATTTGCCTTGTGTTTTATCGTATACACCCATTTACATCCTATGGCCCTCTTTCCAGCTGGAAGTGGCACTAAATCCCAAGTGTTATCGGTGTACAATGCCTCAAATTTTTGAGTAATTGCTGCTTGCCGTGCAGGCACAACAACTGCTTTTTCATATGAGACAGGTTCACAATCTTGTGAGGCATTCTTTATCAAATGTTGACTATCAGTAGCCAGGGCTCTAATGTTAATAGGTTGCACTTTAGGAATGAAGGTGTTAAAAGATAGAGAAGAGGTGCTTTATTCATCTTAAGGTGAGCTAATCACAAGATAGTCACTCACAGGTTGTTTGGGTAGTGTGCACACATAATCTTTTAGATATGTGGGTAATTTGTGGGTTCTGGATGGTCTAATATTTTCTGGAGGTAAAGCTGGAGTATGTTGGTTATAATCAGATGGACTGGCAGTACTGAGTGGGCTATTCTGGATTTGAAACTGTGGAGATGGAATATTGTATTCATTTGTATCTTGAGTATTCTCAGAATATTGGTTCTCTGATACAAGAGTTGGTGACACCATATTGTGATTGTTAGGTGAAGTAGTGGGAGATGTAGCAGAACCACTTGAATTGGGATCAGTTGGTGATGAATGATTTTCTGTATTCAAGTGTATTTGAGGTACTGGGAAGGAAAAACTATCAAGACTAGAAACCAGATTACTAGGACTTGATTTTGAGCTGAATGGAAAAATATTTTCATGAAATAATATATCTCTTGAAATGTGTATTCTTTTTGTGGCAAGATTTAATACCTTGTAGCCCATTGTCCTAAAAGGGTATCCCAGGAATGCATGTGGAGTTGATCTAGGCTCAAATTTGTCTTTGTGTGTGTGTTTGAGAATGGTTGGGAAGCAAAGCAGCCAAAACTTCTAAGATGTGAATAAAGTGGCTTTTTTCTGGTAGAGCAATTTATATGGACATTTATCCTTGACGGATGATAATGACAGTCTGTTTATTAGGTTAGTAGAGGTGAGTATGCATTCTCCCTAGTATTTTAAAGGTACCTTGGATTGATATAGTAGTGCTCTAGCTGTTTCAAGAAGATATTTGTGTTTTCTTTCCACTATCCCATTCTGTTGGGGAGTATAGGGGCAAGTCTTTTGGTGCATGATTCCTTTACCTTGAAAAAATGTGGTGCTGACATTATTGAAAAATTCCAAACCATTATCTGTCCTAATTGTTTTGATGGTAGTTTGGAATTGGTTTTCTACCATAGCAACAAAAGCCTTGATGATATGGAGAGCATTGCTCTTGCAGGTGAAGAGGTGTGTCCATATGGATCTGCTATAATCATATACAAGGGTTATAAAACATTTGTATCCATCATGGGTTGAAATGCGATAGGCCCCCCACAGATCCACATGTACCAATTCAAAGATTTTAAGTGTTTTTGTAGTACTTTGTAGAAAAGAGGACCCGCTCTACCTAGCCATTGGACATACATGACAGAATAAAGCTGTTTTTGAGCAAAGGTAGTTAGGATAGTTGAGATGCCCCTCATTTTGATAAAAGGTACATGACCTAATATATTATGCCACAAAAGGTCTACATTGCATTTCTCATAAGTAAATGCATTAGGAACTAGAACAGAATTGCAAGATTCATGAACATCAACAGAAGAATAGGGAGAAACATTTGAAACAGAGTGCTCATTTACATTGTTTGAAGCATTATTTCCTACAGTAGACTGCACTTTATTTCTGTTGTGTGAGGAAGTGGATGCACAAGGTGTTGTGTGTGAGGTGTGTGTCAAAACAGTAGTGTCAGGTGCAGAAAGTAGAGTTGAGTTACTTTTGCATGAGTTTGTACAATAAAAGTAAAGGTTGTCCTTCACTTCACCAATCTCCAGTGGCCTCTTCATTGAAGGGCCCTTTAGAAGATTACATTAGAAATTTGCAAATACAACAGTGCAATCTAGTTGCACAGTTAAAGAGTGGATAGAAATCAAGTTAAATTAGAAGCTAGGCACATAAATCACCTTTTTCGGAATGAATTTTGGACTTAGGATCACATCACCAATAAGTGTCACCTTGACTCTGTATCCACTAGGTAAGGAAACTAAATAGGGATAGACTAAGGTCCTAACATTGCATAATGATTTCTTATTAAAGGTCATATGGTTTGTGGCTCCGGAATCAAGGATCCACTGATCAACATTTGAATCAAAACATTCACTCGATTGATTATCATGCTCAATAGAAGAGGAACAAGCGACTATACCTGCAAAGTTCACAGCTCCTCCAGTCAGCTTCATGTCTCCTAGCTTCTCCCTAGTGTTTCCTGTTTGGAGCTTTTCCAGGATGTTGAGAGGTTGTCCATATTGTTCTTGAGTTAGATGATGCATGATTCTTCCTTCTTCATGATGATCTCCCTCGACTTCTGTAGTATTAGGTCCATCACTTGGTGTTCCAAACACATTTGATGCAACTCTTTTCCCTTTATTGTTGTTCCCGGGATACCTTGGATTCTGAGGATACCCATGGAGTTTGAAACATTTGTCCCTACTATGTCCTACATTCTTACAGTAATCACACAATTGACGAGGTTTGTTTGAAATGTATCCTCCCCTATTTCCACTATTTCCAGTATTGTTTCCACTTGTATTGTAGTTGGTCCTAAAATTATTATTACCTGTTCTTGCATTAAGGGATACAGACTCCATCACAAATTAACCGTGTGGCTTCACTTCCTCTATTTCTCCTCTTGAATCATTATGGAAAATGACTGCGCAATGCTAGAAAGTGGATTCATCGTCAAGATGCTGCCTCTCACCGCAGTATACACCTCATTCAATCCCATTAAGAACTGAATTAATCTCCTATCCTGTTCCGCCTTGTGCATGTTTGCCTTAGCTCCACAAGTGTATGTGCAATTGCACTGAGCGTGTGTGTTCAAGGTGTTGAGTTCTTCCCAAAGCCTTTTTATTTTTGTATAGTACCCAGTGATATCGAGAGCTCCTTGGCTTACATCACTGATTTCCTTTTGAAGCTTATACAATTTCGCACCATTAGTCTGGTCGTACCTATCTTCTAACTCCTGCATCAATTCCTTCGCATCCTTAACATATTGCAAGTTGTCAGCTAAATCTTTTGAGAGCGAGTTTAGAATTCAGGAGGTGACCATATCGTCACATCATTCCCATTGATCGAAGGTAGCGTGAGTTGGATCTGGCTTCTTGACCTTTCCATTGATGAAATCGACCTTATTCTTCACCGATAATGCCCTAAGTATACTCCTCTTCTCCAGGATCTATAACCCGTGCCGTCGAAAGTCACCGGCACCAACATCGTTCCGGCGTTCTCTAACGCAAGAATGTACAGCGGGCTGGATGAATCTAGGGTTTCCTTGTCCGTTGCCATGATTCAAACGGAGAAATTGTTTCACTATCGAACAACAAACAAAAATTGATGTGATTTTGCCCTAATCAAGGCGAATTACAGAAAATTTCGAAGAAACGAGGGATGAGAGAATACTGATTGAAATCTTGACGAAATGATATGATTAAAGACTGAATCGGAGCCTAAGCTCTGATACCATGACGAACTGTGAAGGATTAACAATGGAGATGAGCTCGAATTGAGCTTCCATAGATGAAGAAGGGAGACATTCTTACTGAGAATCTTCGAGAAACGGATGGAGGGGAAAGATGAATTTCTTTCTCACTGAAAAATATCTGTACAGTATCCCTTTTATATGTATACTAATGGCCTAACTAACTCCTTACAATAACAACCTAATTAATTACAAAACTGGCCTATACAAAGAATATGACTAACTATTACAATGTGGTTAACTATTAAATAATCTCAATAGTTTGCACAAGCAATATGCAGCTTTAGTCACCTATATCTGAAATTGATTTTGAAAATCACTAAATTTACAAAAAAAAAAAAATGGCTATGCATTAAATAGGGGTCCCAAAATTGGCTATCTGTGCAGTCGCAGCCGTCAATGTACCCTCAGAAGTCTTCCTAATTTTCTTGATTTCTTCTTTTCTCTTTTGTTTTATTTTTCTTTTAAATTTTACCCTATCCTTATAAGAATTTCTTTTTTGATATAATATAAAACACTCCTGATGTACCCAAAATAAAAAAATAAAAAAAATGAAAAACTCTCTTGACGCGTTGTGTGGATGTTGGGGTCCTCACTCCTCACGCTTATATAATACAGTACCATTATAAAATCCTGTAAATAGATTTTAAAGCGCCACTTCACAATATTTCTTAAATTGTTGCTTTGTTCAGTAACTCTTACTTGACTACTAACTGAAAATAGAACTATGTTGCAGAATATTGGACAGTTCACATATGGAGATACCGTAAACTATTTTCTTACGTGTATGTGACCCAATAAGATTAGACCCATAATTAATATTTAATTAATGAGCAAATCTCATCCGTCCGATCGGTTACTTGATGGACGTACCGAATTAAGTGAGAACCTCTATAAATTGGTCCTCTCCCCACCCATTAGGGTTACCGAATTTTACTTTCTTTCTTCCATCATTAAAGGCGGCGGTAACATAAAGTTAGGGCAAGGGGCGAGAAACCAATTTTTGAATTAACGCTTCCGCTTCAAAATAATGGATTCCGCTTCAGGTATGTTTTCTATGGCAATTACATGTAAGATTATCATGTTCAAGATCCTGGTATGAATTAAAGTTTATGCTTACACGTGATATCATGAGCCTGGAATTTTAACTGATAATCTTCGCGGATGAATGCCTAGATGACTTATGCTTCGACGTGATTACATCTTTATTTGAATATGATTACAGTAGTAATCTAATGTTACATTTTGGAGGCTTAGATTTGTCTGGTAAATGCCGTTTTGGATTCTGCCAAAATAAGAGACAATATTATGTTATTGTGTTTAAAGCATCTACACTAAAATAATTTTATAATGGAATCATGTGCAATTAAAATAAAGTAACGTTTAAGGAATTAAGGGATATTGGTGATAAAGCCATAGAGATGGCGTTCTTAGAAAGTTAACGTCGACGGCCTCCACTGTCTAATATTTTTGGCTATATATATTTGATGCTCTCTTAGGGTTACTAATTTTATGGTTTAGTTTTTAAAACAAATAAGTAACTATATCATCTACTTGAGCCAGAACATACCAAATATGAAGATTAGGCTAATTACTTGAGTATGTAGGACCACTAATTTACAGATTTTGCATATATTGCAGTAACAGTATGTAAACACCACGTATTGATTGTTATTTGGTTCTTATACTGTGAAACAATTAATGTATGTGCTTAAATTTGTATAGTTTGTTAGTCGCCAAAGTGACCAAACTAGTATGTTTAGAAATATGCATACATAAAAATTATAGTTTATCCATGAAATTAATGAAATGCCTATAATCTAAAAATAGTGGATAAATTAATTTTCACTATTGCTAGAACTTAAGGATTTACCCAATGGTGCAACAATTATTCTATGAATAGTGAATATGATGAGGTAAATTAATATTCTTAGTCAAATATATATTGTCTGTCCAAAGATGACATATATATTTGGTTAAAAATATTTAATTACCTATTAAGACTAAATGACATTTAAATTATGATAGTGTGTCGTAGTATCTACCCAAAGGAGAATTGCGATATGCTTTAATTGTTTTGTTGAATCNCAGATGCTCTCAAAGTGTTTGTTAATGAGGTTGAAAGGCAATTAGATAAAAAGGTGAAAATCATTAGGTCAGATAGAGGTGGTGAATATTATGGAAAACATAATGAATCAGGACAATGTCCAGGTCCATTTGCAAAGTTCCTCGAGGGACGTGGCATATGTGCACAGTATACTATGCCAGGAACACCTCAACAAAATGGTGTTGCAGAAAGGCGCAATCGAGCACTTATGGATATGGTTAGGAGCATGATAAGTAATTCCTCATTACCCAAATCATTGTGGATGTATGCTCTTAAAACCGCTGTATATTTATTAAACAAGGTTCCTAGTAAGGCAGTTCCAAAGACTCCTTTTGAACTGTGGACAGGAAGAAAACCTAGTTTAAGGCACCTGCATGTTTGGGGTTGCCCAGCGGAAGCTAGAGTTTATAAT